TCGGACCCCAGCACCGCGAATGGGTGGAAGAAGGGGATATTCGGGCCCCTTATCTGATCCGTGAGTTCCACAGGAAGTTCCCGGACAAACCGGGAGGTCTCCCGCCCACACTGGGAGTTCCCCCGCCCTGCCCGGGAGATGGTGTTTAATGTGTATTTTTGAGGGGGCAGTATGTCAGCAAGCTGCCATGGTGTTCTGTGTTATTTGTGTCTTTGTACAACAGTTGCTCACCCCCCCCTGCCTGTTCGCTAGTATTCTCTTCTGCTGTAATGCCTAAGCCAAACAACTGGAGGATGTATTGGGGGAGTTCGCTTCACTGCCAGCTTGTTGCTTTTAGAGCCTGGGAACTGCACCTGTGTTATGTCTGGAGATAGCCTGGTTCTCAGGGAATGAGCGCGAACCCGTTTTAGCTTACCCGCCAGCGGGAAGGTGACCTATTGGTTATGTACCTGTTTCAAATCCCTTTATTATGCTTGCCCTAACCGTTTGTAGTCAGTTCTAACAAAGAACGTGTTTGAGTATCTTCCAATGCTTTGAAATAAAATCTTGCTTTTAAAACGTGGATTTATTCTCGATGCTTGGGATCCCAACAGGCAGGTGGGGCCGAGAGAGCTCTTGACAGAAACTGTTCTTTTTCAAGGACAGCTCTTGTCAGAACTACGGCTTGCCCAAGGTCATCCAGCCAGGTGCAAGTGGAGGAGGAGTGGAGAATCAAACCCGGTCCTCCCAGATTAGAGTCCACGCACTTAACCACGGCACCAAACAGGAGCACCTTAAAGACTAACTAAAACTTAAAGACTAACTTAAAGACTAACTAAAACTTGTGGAAGGGTTTGCGCTTTTGTGAGTCACTGCTCACTTCAGATATCTCGAAAGCTCCTCCCCTGCCACAAATGTTGTTCGCCTTTAAGGTGCTACTGGATTCTTACTCTTTTCTACGGCTACGGGCAGACTAACACAGCTCCCTGTTTCAATCTATCCTGTCAAGTCATCCTGTGTTCTGTACCCGGGCTGGGTCGGAGTAAAGTCCACAATTCCCTGCGGGTTTGGGGTCCGGCCAGTGTCTCCCCACCTTGCTCGGGGACACAGGGCTCAACACAACACGTTGTCCTATAAAAACTTCTCTTTCAAAAAAAAGGAAAGGAAAAGACACCTAGATCTCAGGGCCGGAAGCAACTGGTTTAAAAGGCAAAGAAAGCAGAGATCTTCCACCTGGACAGACTCCCCGTCCCTTCCCCGACCTGTCCAAGGGCCGGCTTGCCTGGACTCCCCGCAGCCATGGGGCCGATTAAACTGACTTCCCTTCCCTTCGGGGGGGGGGGCTTACCCAGGCAAGCCAGGGGAAGGCATGGGGGTGTGGCCTAATATGCTAATGAGCTGCACTGTCAGGGAGTGTGGCCTAACATGCTGATGGGTTTCTGCTTCTGGGTGTGGCCTATTATGCTAATGAGTTCCTGCTGGGCTTTTTCTACAAAAAACGCCCTGGTTCCGGCTCTTTTGCCTGCCAGGCGTACATTTTACTCTTCTTCCTTGCCTTCTGTTGCCGTTTGCAGTGACAATTTCTGGTTCCATAGATAGTGTTGGAATCGATTAGGGGACCCTACAGCCCAGAGAGCCGACTGGTTCTTTTGAGGCTGGTCCCAGGCTGAGAAATGCCACCACAGTCCTGCCCAATGCTTGTGAGCAAAATTTCTCCTTTGTGAGCTAACGGCATTAAAGTTGTGAGCGAGCGACTTGGCTACTGCGTGAATTAGTTTGCTCTGGAGCCCTCCTTCCTGAGCGGAGACAAGAATGTGAGAGCCAGGGCTAAAAAAACTGTGAGCTACCTCACACTGACTCAGCTTATTTATTTAATTCTTTATATTCTGATTTGTATCCCGTCCCACCCCGCCAGAGCGGGCTCAGGGTGGCTCACACAAATTAAAACACAGATCAACCACCAAATCATTAAAACCTTTAAAACAGTTCATTAAAACAATACAATATTACTATATTAAGTGCTAGCGATGTTATTGCAATCTCACAACGGTGGGTGTGCTGTGTGAGTGCATACCCTAGGGTGTTCATTTCCCACACTGATCTTACTTGACGCGCACACCAGGAACCAGGCTCTACAGTTGTTACTAGTGATGGCAACTTAGAGGGAACACGGGTCCCTGTCCATCTCCAGCCAGGTAGCCGGAGGCCAACGAGGAAGCAGTCAGACCGACTCTGGCATGGCTCACGAATGTTTCACAGTATGCAACCAGGGGTCATTTCCTGCAGGAGTGCACAGGAGCGGAGCTCCGGCAGTAAAGAGCCCAGGGGGCGGGCACATGCAACAAGCCCCACCCCCTGCTCCCAGTAGCCCTCAGTCAGAGCAAGAAGCAGCCAGGTAAGCTGCAGAGCCCCCCGCCCCCCCCCCCACACCCACCCACCATCGCCCCAAAACAGTCCAGTGGCACCATTAAGACCAAGTTTTATTCAGGTAGAAGCTCTCCCTCCTCTGCGAGGACAGATCTGCGCGTTCCCCCCCCCCAATAGCTAGCATTCCAAAACAGTCCAGTGGCACCTTTAAGACCAAGTTTTATTCAGGGACAAGCTCCCCCTCCTCTGCAAGGACAGACCGGCATGTTCCCCCCCCCCCCAATAGCTAGCAATTCAAAACAGTCCAGTGGCACCTTTAAGGCCAAGTTTTATTCAGCTACAAGCTCTCCCTCCTCTGCGAGGACAGATCTGCATGTTCTCCCCCCCCCCATAGCTAGCAATCCAAAACAGTCCAGTGGAGCCTGAGCGGTGGGTGTTGCCTTCTGACACACTTCCGGTGATGTCAGGGGGTGTGGCCTATGCAAATAAGTTATGCTAATGAGCTCCTGCACCTCTTTTTCTACGAAATGACCCCTGTATGCAACACATGTCCTGTCCTTTTCTGAGCATACCTGGCTAAACAAAAGAGTTATGTATCTATTTCATGTGTACCCAGCCTTTTGCCTTAGTGGGGAACAAAGCCGCTCACCACCTCCTCTCTTCCGTTTCGTCCTCACAACCACCCTGTAAGGTAGGTTAGAGCTGAGAGTGTGCGTGACTGGCCCAAGGTCACCCAGTGAACGTCCACGCAGGAGTGGGGCTCTGAACCCGGGCCTCTTCAGATCCTCTCCCTGATGCACTAACCACTGCACCACGCTCCCCAGCGAAAAACGGGAGGCGTCGTGCTTCCTTACCAGTCTGCTTCATCACTGGGCCAGCCTGCCCCTCCCAAGCCGCAGAAGCAGCCGTAGCGCAGGTAGGCAAAGGGGGTGCGCCCGGTCGTGCACTGAATGGCCCCCGCCAGCTGGAGCAGTCCTCTTCGCCGCCGAGAGGGAGGGCCTTCTGCCGCTGCTGGGGGAGTGGGGGGGGGGGAGAGAGAGGAAAAACATCTCGTCAGTCCTGGCAGAGTCCTCCGTGGACCAGCAAGGCCATCCCTGGCCCTCGGACCAGAAACCCCAGCTCTGACGGGTGGGTGAGGCCCAGGTATGAACCGGAGGAGAAGGGTGGCCTGGATTGCTAAAGGCATGGGATCCGAATCTTCTAATGTGCTGGGGCTGATAGACTTGGAAGTGGTGTGGGAGCAGTGGTGTTTTCCTGCTTCCAGAAGGTTGACCGTTGTTTGCCTGGGTAGTTACATTCGAGTCCGGTAGTGCCTTAGAGACGAATGAGATTTCCGGGGTATGGTGATGATCAGTATTCCCTCTAAGCTGAGTCAGTGTGAGCCAGCTCACAGTTTTTCAGCCTCCAGCTCAGACATTTTTGTCTTAGCTCGGGAAGGATGTGGCTCCAGAGCAAACTCATTGATGCAGGAGCCAGATCACTCGCTCAGCACTTTAATGTCAGGAGCTCACAAAGTAGAATTTTCGCTCACGAGACTCCACAGCTTAGAGGGAGCACTGATGGTGATGGGGATATTGATTATAAGCAGTGTTCCCTCTAAGCTGAGTCAGTGTGAGCCAGCTCACAGTTTTTCAGCCTCCAGCTCAGACATTTTTGTCTTAGCTCGGGAAGGATGTGGCTCCAGAGCAAACTCATTTATGCAGGAGCCGAATTGCTCGCTCAGAACTTTAATGCCAGTGGCTCACAAATTCAAATTTTCGCTCACGAGACTCCACAGCTTAAGGGGAACACTGATGGTGATGAGGATATTGATTATAAGCAGGGCTCTAGTCGGGGGGGGAGCTCTCAGGTACGGAGCTCCGGAAGAGACCCTCTAGGGGGCGGGGCGGTCACGTGGTGAAGCCCCGCCCCCTTCTTTACCCCGCCCTCTGCTTCGATCCTCATTCCGTTTGGGAATGAGGATGAAGCAGGAGGGTAAGTAGCCGGGCCTTCTGACACACTTCCGGTGATGTCAGGGGGTGTGGCCTTCTGTCACTTCCGGTGATGTCAGGGGGCGTGGCATATGCAAATAAGTTATGCTAATGAGTTATGCTAATGAGCTCCGGCAGCTCTTTTTCTACAACAAGACCCCTGATTATAAGGTTTTTACAATTATTTCATTTTGGTATAGAAGTCTCTTTAATTGTTAAAGATATAATTTCCTTTATCGTTAATGGCTCATCGTTGACTTTAGGAAAGTTTTTGCCTGTTCTTTAAAGGCAGAATCTATCCCAAATTTTGTAATTCTGTAATATTCAAGTTTTATTGTTTGATCTTATACATTTGAAATATGTAATATATTTGGTAATGTATCTGATTTTACTTGTTGTACGTAACAATCCATAACACTTTACAAATTTGATTAATCTATATTTCTCCTCGTACCCCTTTTTTTCCTTCTGTATCCCACCCTTTGAAGAGAAAATAATAAAAAATCATTTACAAAAAGAGAGAGAGAGATTTCCAGGGTATGAGTCTCGAAGCTCCCTTCATCAGATATAAGTAGGAATGGAGATACAAGTCTCTATATTCTAATCAGAGGGTTGTAAAAAAGGGTTCATAAAAGATGCAAAGATACAATGCGTATTGTAATCTTTACTCAGCAGATGCTAATTTTCTGCCCCCGAGCATTTCCCCTCTGCACTAATCATGCCAATCGCCGCGTGCATCGTACCTTTGCATCCTTCCCGAGCCTCCTTTACAATACCCGTCTTACGTTCTGACTGGGATACAAGGACTCGTGGAGGTCTCCACCGCATGTCTGATTGAGGGAGGCGGGGCTCTTGAAAGCCCCTCCCCTGAAAGTTTGGTTGGTCTCTAGGTGCTACTGGGCTGGCATCTGGCCTCCAACACAGCCACCCTCTGAGAACCCTGTTTTTGAGCCACCGTGCCCGTTTTAAGCGGCCACCAAACTGCCCAGAAGCAGTCGTGCATCGTTGATGCCCCGTGTGCAAGTTCTCACACGTGCACTAATGAAGCGTGGCTTCGCCATGTTCATGCGCCCCCTGCTGATCTTTTTCTCTGGGAGCGGCACGTGCGACACGCCCTCGTCTGCCTCTGAGAATATTTCAGGATCCTCCCCGGCTGCCTCCAGTCTGTTGGTTTGTGACGATGAGGAAATCAGAACTTTGTTTCACGCGTGAAGCCGTCTCATACTGAAATCGGACCCTTTGTCCATGCCGGTCAGTATTTTCTAGTGAGATGGGCAGTGGCTCTCCGGGGTCTCAGGCAGACACATAAAAACCTCAGAAGAGCCCTGCTGGATCAGACCAGTGAGGGTCCATCTAGTCCAGCATCCTGTCTCACACAGGGGCCTGCCAGTTCCTCTGGGGGACCAACAACAGGGCAGAGAGGCCGAGGCCTTCCCCTGAGAAGAACCTCAGAAGAGCTCTGCTTGATGAGAGCAGTGAGGGACCAACATCCTGTCTCACATAGTGCCCAGCCAGTTCCTCTGAAGGGCCAAGAACAGGGCACAGAGGCCAAGGCCTTCCGCTGAGAAGAACCTCAGAAGAGCTCTGCTTGATGAGAGCAGTGAGGGACCAACATCCTGTCTCACATAGTGCCCAGCCAGTTCCTCTGAAGGGCCAAGAACAGGGCACAGAGGCCAAGGCCTTCCGCTGAGAAGAACCTCAGAAGAGCTCTGCTTGATGAGAGCAGTGAGGGACCAACATCCTGTCTCACATAGTGCCCAGCCAGTTCCTCTGAAGGGCCAAGAACAGGGCACAGAGGCCAAGGCCTTCCGCTGAGAAGAACCTCAGAAGAGCTCTGCTTGATGAGAGCAGTGAGGGACCAACATCCTGTCTCACATAGTGCCCAGCCAGTTCCTCTGAAGGGCCAAGAACAGGGCACAGAGGCCAAGGCCTTCCCCTGAGAAGAACCTCAGAAGAGCTCTGCTTGATGAGAGCAGTGAGGGACCAACATCCTGTCTCACATAGTGGCCAGCCAGTTCCTCTGGAGGGCCAGCAACAGGGCAGAGAGGCCGAGGCCTTCCCCTGAGAAGAACCTCAGAAGAGCTCTGCTTGATGAGAGCAGTGAGGGACCAACATCCTGTCTCACATAGTGGCCAGCCAGTTCCTCTGGAGGGCCAGCAACAGGGCAGAGAGGCCGAGGCCTTCCCCTGAGAAGAACCTCAGAAGAGCTCTGCTTGATGAGAGCAGTGAGGGACCAACATCCTGTCTCACATAGTGGCCAGCCAGTTCCTCTGGAGGGCCAGCAACAGGGCAGAGAGGCCGAGGCCTTCCCCTGAGAAGAACCTCAGAAGAGCTCTGCTTGATGAGAGCAGTGAGGGACCAACATCCTGTCTCACATAGTGGCCAGCCAGTTCCTCTGGAGGGCCAGCAACAGGGCAGAGAGGCCGAGGCCTTCCCCTGAGAAGAACCTCAGAAGAGCTCTGCTTGATGAGAGCAGTGAGGGACCAACATCCTGTCTCACATAGTGGCCAGCCAGTTCCTCTGGAGGGCCAGCAACAGGGCAGAGAGGCCGAGGCCTTCCCCTGAGAAGAACCTCAGAAGAGCTCTGCTTGATGAGAGCAGTGAGGGACCAACATCCTGTCTCACATAGTGGCCAGCCAGTTCCTCTGGAGGGCCAGCAACAGGGCAGAGAGGCCGAGGCCTTCCCCTGAGAAGAACCTCAGAAGAGCTCTGCTTGATGAGAGCAGTGAGGGACCAACATCCTGTCTCACATAGTGGCCAGCCAGTTCCTCTGGAGGGCCAGCAACAGGGCAGAGAGGCCGAGGCCTTCCCCTGAGAAGAACCTCAGAAGAGCTCTGCTTGATGAGAGCAGTGAGGGACCAACATCCTGTCTCACATAGTGGCCAGCCAGTTCCTCTGGAGGGCCAGCAACAGGGCAGAGAGGCCGAGGCCTTCCCCTGAGAAGAACCTCAGAAGAGCTCTGCTTGATGAGAGCAGTGAGGGACCAACATCCTGTCTCACATAGTGGCCAGCCAGTTCCTCTGGAGGGCCAGCAACAGGGCAGAGAGGCCGAGGCCTTCCCCTGAGAAGAACCTCAGAAGAGCTCTGCTTGATGAGAGCAGTGAGGGACCAACATCCTGTCTCACATAGTGGCCAGCCAGTTCCTCTGGAGGGCCAGCAACAGGGCAGAGAGGCCGAGGCCTTCCCCTGAGAAGAACCTCAGAAGAGCTCTGCTTGATGAGAGCAGTGAGGGACCAACATCCTGTCTCACATAGTGGCCAGCCAGTTCCTCTGGAGGGCCAGCAACAGGGCAGAGAGGCCGAGGCCTTCCCCTGAGAAGAACCTCAGAAGAGCTCTGCTTGATGAGAGCAGTGAGGGACCAACATCCTGTCTCACATAGTGGCCAGCCAGTTCCTCTGGAGGGCCAGCAACAGGGCAGAGAGGCCGAGGCCTTCCCCTGAGAAGAACCTCAGAAGAGCTCTGCTTGATGAGAGCAGTGAGGGACCAACATCCTGTCTCACATAGTGGCCAGCCAGTTCCTCTGGAGGGCCAGCAACAGGGCAGAGAGGCCGAGGCCTTCCCCTGAGAAGAACCTCAGAAGAGCCCTGCTGGGTCAGACCAGTGAGGGTCCATCTAGTCCAGCATCCTGTCTCACACAGGGGCCAACTTGTTCCTCTGGATGGCCAACAATAGCCCATAGAGAGGCTGAGGCCTTCCCCTGATGTTGCCTCCTGACTCTGGGATTCAGAGGATTAGTGCCTCTGAACATGGAGGTTCCCCTCAGTCCCTTGGGTAGTAGCCACTGACAGGTTTATCCTCCCGGAATCTATCTAATCCCTTTTTAAAGCTGCTTATTCCGGTGGCCATCACCACATCTTCTGGCAGCGAATTCCACATTTTAATCACTCTCTGTGTAAAGCAGTATTGCTCCTAATTCCGACTCCTGAGTGCCTCCTGGTTTATCTTTCTTCTGCCTGCCTTGTTCGCACACTTGCCTGCTTATTCGTGTCGTGTGGGAACGGCACCAGGGCTTCAATGCACGGACCCACCCAAAGGTGTACAGTTCAGACCCGCTTCTGAACTCATCACCTGCTCGGGGAAAACTGGGACACTCTGCCCCTCGTATTTTTCTCTCTTCCCTTCCT